GTATAATCCATACTGCAGAGTGTAGTCTTCAATCTTCATCAGTAAGTGCTTCAAGTCATCCTCACTTTCAGCAAGCAAAGTTGTGTCATCAGTGTATCACAGGTTGTTAATGATTCTTCCTCCAATCCTGATGCCACGTTCTTCTTCATACCGTTCAGCTTCTCGGATTATTTGCTCAGCATAAAGATTGAATAAGTATGGTGAAAGGATACAACCCTGACACAATCCCTTCTTGATTTTAAACAATGCAGTGTCCCCTTGTTCTGTTCTAACAACAGCCTCTTGGTCTGTGTGCAGGTTCCTCATGAGTACAATTAAGTGTTCTGGAATTCTCATTCTTTTTAATGTTACCCATAATCTATTATGATCCACACAATCAAATGCTTTTGCACAGTCAATAAAACACAAGTAAACATCTATTCTTGTATTCAAAATCCATCTGACATAAGCAATGATATCCCTCATTCTACTTTGCCTTCTGAATCCAGCTTACATTTCTGGAAGTTCTCTCTCAATATACTGCTGCAACCATTTTTGAATTATTTTCAGTAAGATTTTACTTGCATGTGATATTAATGGTATTGTTTCAAAATTTACACATTCTGTGGGATCACCTTTCTTTGGAATGGGTACAAATATGAATCTCTTCCAGTCAGTTGGCCAGGTAGCTGTCTTCCAAATCTCTTGGCATAACCAAGTGAGTGTCTCAACAACACAAATGGCAGTTGTACACGTGGACATCACCAGATGGAACACACAGGAATCAGATGGACTACATCTGTGGCAAGAGGCAATGGAAAAACTCAATATCTTCAGTCAAAAGCAGGCCAGGAGCTGACTGTGGAACAGACCATCAACTGTTCATATGCAAGTTCAACTTGAAGTTAAAGACAATTAAAACAAATCCATGAGAGCCAAACTATGATCCTGAATATATCCCTCCTGAATTTAGAGACCATCTAAAGAATAGATTTGATGCATTGAACATCAGTGACAGAAAACCAGAAGAATTGTGGGATGACATCAAGAGCATCATCCATGAAGAAAGCAAGAGATCACTAAAGAGACAACAAAAGAAGACCAAACCAGATGACAGAAGAGACCCTGAAACTTGCCCTTGAAAGGAGAGTAGCTAAAGCAAATGGAGGAAATGAAAAGATAGAAGAATTGAACCGAAGATTTCAAAGAGCAGCTTGAGA